TGGGCGCTCCCTAACGGCTTTTTAAATTCGCTGCTTTGATCGCGTAATGCGTGTTTGCATGAGGTCACTGCGCTATAGAAGAAACGAGTTCGATTTGCACGGTGAACACCTGCCAAAACGCACCCGAGCCCTTTTGCTGGAATGTCAAAGCTTATTAAAATACCTCGGTGTGGAAAAGTACTATTCTAATTTTTGGATAAGGAAACCAGTCCTGTAATTTTTTAAAACACGGTGCTTAAAAATAACATAAAGGCAGCCTCTGTAATGCAGACCAACCTGGTTTTAATAACTTAATCTAACTTGTGTAAGCTTTAAAAATATTTAAAGAAAATGCACACAGCTGCAACCTGCCAAGCATCACTGGAACTGTAAGCTGTGCAGAATCCCTGTCATGGCACAGTAAGTTACGGAAAGGGGAATAAACATTTAGACACAAGATAGCCAATGAATTGCTTTTAAAATGCTTATGGAAATGGGAGGCAGAGAAAGTTCTGTTTTTGTTTGGTTTTAGGTAAAGGCTTTTTTCAGAGCTGCGTAGTAATCAAGGAAAAATTATGCTTTACAAAATAATTAAAACTTGTTTTCTTTTGATAAGTCCCCATGATCATATTTCCTGGTATAAATATATTGGTTACAGGGACAGACTGAGGAGTTTTACTTTAAATAGGATCCTTAGGATATAAATTACTATGCAATAGGATCATTCCATGTAACTCTGCATTAACATTTATATACAGGTATCTCTATCTGCTGTTACTGTATCATTCATTAGACTTCATTAGGATAAAGCAGAATTAAGAACCTTGTTCCACTTTCTTCTAACAGTCAGAAAATTTTGAACATCTCTTCTAGGATGGTTTTGATTTGGATTCAAGTACCGACAGAGTGCCGACCCTCTCTCTAAACGGAGACTCTGAGAAGCAGATAGACTTTTCCAAAATGTGTGATTCAAATCAAGAATATTATTTGAAGCTGGAAGAGTTGAAGAATGCCCACTTGGAGACCATGGCAAAATTAGAAAGTATGTATCGGAATAAACTGTATTTAAAAGGAGTACAACCCCCGGACAAGAAGAATGCCACTTCTAACACGTGGTGTAGGTATGTTTGGTGGTACCTTTTATCTGAAGATTCTCAAATGCTCTGCAGACATCTGTAAAACAGCAGGGTTTTTTCTGGGGCTGGGATGTGTTGCTCCCTCCATTTCCTCTAAGCAAATAATCACAGAAAAGATAATTTTAATAATAAAAATGCTTATTCACCTCGCTAGTGAACTGTGAGATTTACAAGCGTGTGTGCAGCAGAGACTGGGCAACTTGTTTAGTAAAGCCCCATGCCTTTCCTTAAGAAGTGCTGACTTGTTCACCATCAGTACTCACCTAAAACTATGATTCTGATGCAAGTGCCCAATGTGCTTCTCTTTTCCCTTCTCTTCCCCTTCTCTTCTTCCCCGCCAGTGCTGTTAATTTTTTTTTCCTAATGATATCTTAAAGTGGAAGTTACTGGCTTTGCATCGATGTTGGACTGGACTCAAACCAATTTTTTTTTTTTTTTCCTTTTTTAAAGGCCAACATGGGAGAAGAGCTCATACCAGCCTCTAAATTTGCACAAATCCTTTTCGGACTCTGACTTAAGCGATCCCTTAGGCTCAAGTATATCTGATGGGTCTGAGAGAGAATTAGCGTTTGAAGAAAATGGTAGTGAAACTGGATCATCTGCATTTGCTAAGGAACGGATTGAAAAAATGTGGGATGGGTTCTCTGTGGAAGACTACATCTCCCGCACCAAACACAGCTTACCAAGCTCACCAGCCTTCAGAGTGATACGGAAGAAACAGAAAGCGTGGTCACCAAAAGTTACTGTGCCCAAGCCTTTCCAGATGACAATTAGAGAAGCTAGAAAAAAAGAACAGAATGTCAAATCAAAGTCACAGATTGAAATGGAAAATAACTTACTGAGGAAGCAACTAGAGGAGGAAGCAGAGTGCCAGAAAAAATTCCGAGCCAATCCAGTGCCCGCTGCCATCTTCCTACCGCTCTACCATGAAATCATGCAACGAAACGAAGAACGCAGGAGGTCTGTGAGAGAGAGAAGCCAACGCAAGCTCTTGGCTTCTCAGAAGCCATTTAAATTCATTGAACGAGAGAAGCAGAGGAATGAAATTAGGAAAATGCAGTTAAGAGACCTTTCCACACCTGAAAAGAAAACAAAACTGTTCAAAGCAAAACCAGTTCCCAAATGCATTTATAGTCCAGCTGTTAATGACAAGCTAAAGGAGGAAGAGCTCTACAGAGAAATCAGGATCAGAATGAGAGCTGAAGAGTTGCTACGTAATTCATCTCTCCCCAACAGCAGACTGGCTTTAAAAGCTACCAATAAAAAAAAGAAACACAAGTGCATTGAACCAAAGGAAACAGAACATAAACCCAGGATCAAATCAAATGTCCCAGATTTTGAACTACTACACCAGAAATTTCAGAAACGGCTCCTGCAACAAAAAAAAGTGAAACACCTTACAGTCTGTGAACCGTTCGATCTTCGTACTCCATGTATTCCCTCAAACAAGGGGAAGATTTTGAAGGACATTCAAGAGGATGAAGAAAAGTTGAAGGAAACACGCTGGCCATATGCCTCTCCAAGACGTAAACCTCCAATGAGACATGCAAGTGTAAATTTGCATCTCTCAGGATTTGGAGAATCTAAATCGCCAAAAATCACAGAATCCACAAGACGACGGCTACAAGCCATAAGGTGACTACTTTAGCGATGCTCTACATTTTATGTAAACTTTAAGAGTAGATTTCTCTTGTATTTCTATGTATGTAGTCAGTTCTTCCATGCAGTGAATATAGGACTTAATATGTTAATATAAGGGCTTAATTATAATAGGACACTTAATATTTAAATACAGGGCTTAATTAGACTTTGTGGTTGTTAAAGAAACATAGTGCATTTTTCTCAGTGTCCATAGGAAAGGGACAAATGACTGCTGTTTCCCAGGGTACGCCTGAATCCCTTAAGGTGGCACATACCCTGTGTCCTCTTCTGCCAACCCTGTTTTCACCCTGTTTTTCTCTTCTAAATCTCCTTTGCCAAAGCTTCCTTTGAAGTCTTGCTCTTGATTTAAAATGAATTCAGCCTTAGTTTATTTTTCCACCCAGGAATTCACTTGAGGAAAAGAGAAAGTTGGAAGAACAACAGAAAAGGAACAGAACAAAGCAGAAACAAAGAACGAAAAAGCTCCAGAAAATTGTAACAACTCGGGCTGAGGCCAATGACCCACATCAGAGCCTAGCTCAGGTGTCTAAATCCAAATTAAAAACATTCAGGTATTTTGTTGCATTCCCCTGAATCCTCAACTTCTCATTCTACATTGTATGTTTTAACATACGATGTAAAAAAATAGCATAGTCTAGGTTTATGTAATTGCACATTTGATAAATTATACACTGTACAAGCAGCTAGTAAAAAAGGCGGCCAAATTGAGTTTTTCAGCTGGGAAATTGTTGCCTGTTCTAATGATTTTGATCTACCTTACAGTATTACAGATTAGCTAATAGGAGACTCCTGTGTTTTCTCAATTGCCATACCAACCAAAGAGGAAAAGTTTAAAAAAATCCAAAGGAAAAGGAACAGTGTCGTTACAGAATATCCTTGCACTGCTGGATTGATAGGTGTTGGTCCAACTTTGGTGCTAGCCATCTCCTACGGTAGCAAATGTTTCACAATTCACTTCTTTGTCCCAGCAGGTCCCCCCTTAAGAGGGAAAACGAGAGCAGAAATATTATTTTAACTTAGCACATGTATCAACAGCTAACCAGGAAGCTGCTGGTGCTTAGGAGGAATGGGATCCAAAGTTACCTTTACTGGAGATACAAATTCAAAGACTTTCTACACAATTGAGAAAAGTAGTATGCAGGGAGAAACATCAGGGCCTTCTCAGTGTGCTATGAGCTAGCAGTCCAGATGGCTCCCGCTCTCTGATGCTGATCTAACGCCAGAATTGCTGCTTGTCCTTGTGTTTGTGGCTAATTTAACCATTTCTGTTTCCTGTTCTTTTTAATCCTAGAAAAAAAAAAAAAGTCAGTCCTGTTTTTGCATGAGTCTTTAGTGAGGTTTATAATCTGTATTGGCACGATGGCACTGCAGCAGTATCATCCGTTCAAAGCTCCATCACATGGAGACGGTGAGAGCTACTGACTGCTCTGCCCCTGCTGCTTCATGCATAGGCAGGATTCTTGGGCAGCAACTACAAATCCTAATTTCCAGTAACCAGGCAAATTACCAGTAACTGACGGTAGTAGGGCAAAACAACACGAGGGTGAAGGATCATGAGATATGCCTACAAGATTCATAGCTTGGACTAGCAACTTTTAAGTTACCATACCAAACTTCAAGGCATTTAGAATACCATCCAGGATAGAGATCTTTCTGAAATGAGGGTGGAGGCTAGGGCTGTCTTTATGGCTGAGTTGAAAGGTAACAACGTTTCCTCATTCTTTTTTTGCTTTACATGGGTCTCTCCTTTCTTTATAGCTAAAGTAGAAAACTGTGGATTTATTCTTTAAACTCTGGGCTGTTACAAGCAAATTTGCTAAAATACTGCAAGACAATGCTGCACATTGTTCCACAGCAAACTTTGTAATGGTTATTCACCACCAATGTTGCTTCACTGTGACCAAAGAGAGAAAATGTAGTAGAAACCAAAGCACGTGCGTTCTCACAGACTGAAAGCATGAAGTGCAGTGTCTCAGCTGGGATACGCTAGCGGCAGCATTGCAACAAACATTTTTGCTCAGCCACATGGGCAGTCAGTGACTATCCAGCATATGTCTATGCCCACCTACCACCTGCCCCAAAACCAGCTAAAGCCAAAGCACGCATAGGAAGAAGCAGTGGTGTAGGAGAAGCCCAGCTTACACGGGGTCCTGGAGAACAGAGATACAGTGGCAGAGATGCAGCTCAAAGAGGGCAGTCCCTTCTCGCTGTTTTGTTAGAGTCAGAGCTCAAGCACAATTGCTTTTGCCACACCACCAGCAGATTCTGTTAATAACAGGAGCTTTATAATGTAGGGTATCCTTGGGCAGATGATCTGCTGACTCTAGGACAGAAGCAGAAAACAATTTGCATTATGGAGGCAAGGTGGAGAATTGAGATGGTGGGTGTGCTTGTAGATTCGATTTGAGTTCATTCAACACCAAACTTCACATTGCAGTATTTAGCTTAATCAGATTTCAGGAGTATTGTAAAAAGCTCATACTTAATTCTTGTCTGCACATCAAATTATGCTATTACAAGCAAGATTACTTCCCTAGTGCTGATGCATTAAGGCTGGTACAAGTGCTTAACTTGATAATGCTTATTGCAGCATAGGCTGGGTAATAAGGTATATTAGTGTAAGTGCTCTTCTAACAGATAATTAGGTTTGTAGAAAGCTGCCTGAGAGCGCAAGCAAGTGGCAACAATGAAGTTCGCTCCCTCAAAATGGTGAAGGACTTGCCTTAACGCACAGCCA